CCCCCACCCCCCATCAATTATCTAATGGTCCAGCCTTTATAGCACTTGGGCCTTAGGGCAAACGTCGAACTTTCCATGCACGGAACTCATTAAAAACAATGGATATTAGTAGGTGATAATGAGCGAGGCGGCATTCTTAGATGTAAGTTCGGTGCATGGAAAGTTCGAAGTTTGCTCTAGGCCTTACACGGTACTACGTAAATGCCGTAATATTGAAAGGCTTCCTATTATGCCTTTTCGTAATTCATCCAGTCACATCGCGTATAGTTATGCTTTTAGTTCTATGACGTACCACTACAGTTTCTTTCTCACATCTTACACAAAAATGCTCTAAGTAGATTTAGGGATGAGAAGTTTAAGAACTAGTCTTAAAAGTAACAAATTGAGTAAAATAATGATACTTAAATACTGTCCTAACCAGTTAAATTATGTATATCTAATGTAGCCTTACATGTCACAGTCATAAACTGTATTGTAAGTAAAATAATGATACTTCTTAAGTACTGTCCTAACCGGTTAAATTTCTTATTTAGGCAGTTTTTTAATATTGAACCTGGAAGTCGTTTTTACACCATGACGTCATGCATAGAAGCCTACGATTTTCGATATTAAAACGCCAAGTCCATGTAGGGATATTTCCTTTCCTTCACTTGTTCTCTCTTGTCTTTTAGTTCTTTTCTGTTTCTTTTATTTCCTTTATTTCTCTTCTCTTCTCTTTTCTTCTCTTCCCTCTAGTCTTCTCATATGCCTTTCTTATTTTCTTTTCTACTCTTTACCCAGTTACCAACATTTTTAACTCCCGTACGAATTATTCGCGATTGGTTCTTATAAAAATTTAAAGGGAACACATACGTACGGCTGCAATCATGTAAAGAACTAGCATAACAGGAAAATGCACGCGGTTTTAAACGTATGGTACTGACTTAAGGGACGGACCATTAGATAGTTGATGGAGGGCTTCCTTATATTATGCCTTCTCGTACTGATTCATCCAATCACAACGCGTATAGTTATGGTGTCGACAGTACTATGATGTACCACTACAGTACGATTAAAAAAAGGCCGTATTGTTTCTTTCTCACATCTTACACAAAAATTGCTCCAAGTAGATTTAGGGATGAGAAGTTTAAGCGTAACTTCTAATTTACCGTAGACTACTCAAAGAATTCAGTGTAGGTTATGTTTACCATTATTTGAGCATGAGACGTGACTTATAAATGCGTCACATCAGCCTATCAGAACTAAATATACTTGTATTGATTTCAAAAAAAGTATCGTTTGACCCTTGCGCAAAAGTCGAACCTTCAATGAACGCACGCTCGTCATACCGCCATTAGAATTGTCTTGTAGTGAGTGTTGAAGGGTAATAAGTAAATTACATAAAAAAGTACAAAAAAGCACGTAAAAACTTTTCTGAGTTTCGCGCAACTAAAGATGTTTTATTCTTCTAACCTTTTTAACGTAAACTAATCTAAAATTGAAGTTATGTCGCTTGTGTAATGCAAAGTATGCCTCACGTCAGTTATATCAACGTACACGCGTAAGCTGATGCTGGTACTATATAGGTAGACAATTACCTTAAGAACAAGTTTACGTTCCCAAAGTCATTATTAAACGCAAAAGGTACAGCAAATAAAAACAGGCAAATTAAACTTGTACGAACAATATGTGTGGATGTAGCATTGGTGGTGAATTGGCACTAGAAGATGAGGGCAAAAAAGTCGTGGGAAGACCTTGGCATAACTGAATAAAGAACTGAAGTTAGTATGAACGTCTTCGCGCGTATTAGTGACAAAAGTACTAATATAGTCATTGGTCAATATGTGAAACTAAGTTTTTAGCTCAAATAATTACTGTAATATAGATTGATTGTACAGCTACAATATACAATCGTTGAGAAATTCTTTGGCTAACACTAAGACTTCAGCCAATTTTCCTCTTAACTTACCAGTGACCCATCAGAGTTGCAAGAGTCCTAGCCAGTGAGGATGTAGTCTTTAAAGCAACTGTAAAGCTTACTCCAATTTTCTTAAATTTTCACTACTTGATAAGTTACGAAAACCCATGCAAATGATTGGCAGGTTAAATAATTTGTTCCTTGGGTTGTATATAAAGTTAGTGAATTGAAATCTCCTAGGCGACCCGGTAATAAATGTACGAAAAACCCTCTATGAAGCAGGAAAAATTTGTTTTTTCGTAACTTATACTTATACTCTCTTGGTGGGGAAATAAAAACTATTAACTTAAACCCTTTTCAAATTATATATAATGACACAAAAGTTATTGTACGTAAATACCACTACTTAAGAAGCCACTTACACATTCATGCTTCACCAATAGTATATTATGTTAAGGTCAAAGGTTTGTATTCTTTGAATTACTAGCTAACAAGGAGTCGATACCGGAAAGGGAAGGCAACGCAACGCTATAAGCTGAAATAAGCTATAACGAGCAAATTTTGGCTAAAGATATAGTTCTTATATCATTTACTGGTTTAATATCTACCTAATTAGAGATAAACGAAACCTACTATTGTTAATTATAAAAAGAGTATTAAAAATGTATAATCTATTGACCTTTTTTTCCGAAGAAACTGGTTCTCAGTAAACCCCGGTAGAGTTTCTACCTAAGAAAACTGAAACTTTCAGGTACGTCACTATTGTGGTTGGATCTTTGGCCTAGCATAAAGATTTGAAAAAATGATATGGTTACTATTATCTACATCAGTTTTTTTCTAATTCATAACTTAACCATAGAAGCGTAACTAAACCTTGAATTTTTTTTTTTTTTTTTGTCTTTTGATTAAAGTGAATAAAGTTTGATCTCCTTTGCTTCAGATCAAGAATATAAATTTCTCTCAACTTCCCTCAACCTTCCAACGCTACAGAATTTTTCCAACACGACAAAGAGAAACTATTTTTTGTATTTATTTCTGTGTCATTGTGCTTTTAAAATCAATTTCATTAAAATGAAATTATAAAGATATACAAAAGACGATGTTATTAAAAATAACAATCACTTTTATAATAGAGCTTTACTGCAAGAAAGTAATAACTGCCGAACTAAAGCTACCCTACAGTAGACTAACTGACCGTGACCGTCCACAGGCATTCATCCCAATCTCTTATCTATGTTTCTATTATCTTTTATTACTCAGGGTGCAACATTGCGCGCAACATAGCAAGCAACACATATGAATTGGGGCCAAACACATTGCAACAAAATCACGCAACATCGCTTGTGTCAGCCTGCTATGTTAAGATATTTGGTCATCAGTCATAAATTTGGTGCAAGCTGATTGGCTGGAAGTTTCAAAATGTTACAGGTAATGTTGCAGCCACGTTCACATCATGAAATTTGTTGCGCGCAATGTTGCAAGAGTAGAGCGCACTTCAACTTTAGATTTGTTGCATGCAACGTTGCGTGGAACAAGTTTAGGGTAGGCACACGCTGCAACAGTCTGTTGCGTGCAGACTCAGAAACAACAAAGAAATACCTCACATTTCCTTAGAAAAAATGTGCTTTTCCGGTGTTATTTTTAATATTTTTTTATTATTTATTATTTATATTTAGTTTTTGCTGTTTGTTGCCTCTACTCAAAAAGTTATGTAAAGTAAAAAAAATCAAAAGCCTTAAATAAGAATGATTTTAACACTTCAAAAATTTCAAAAAATATCTTTCTTGTACGCTTAGATACGACCGGATTAGATATCGAGGTTGTGAGAGTAACGGACAGACAGACAGATAGATAGAAAAGAAGACAAAATAAAGAGGGAGGGAGGGGAGGGTTCAATTTCCTCCCCGCGCTTTTTGACTAGTTTCCAGACTCTTTCATTACAAAATGTAATCAAACTCCCGCCATCTTCGATCACATGTACCATTATTCCTTTGTGGACTGTTTTTTTACTTYATTTATCCTAAAAGATGCTCATTTTAAACAGCATTTGAGCTTAAATTCAGATTAATGAATGTGAATCAACTGAAACTATCCATAAGAATGGGTTCAAGCTTGAGAGTCTAAAACTTCAGAGCAAAATGAAGTCAAAATGTTTGTGAATAATTCGATGAATTGAAGGTGAGCTATTTAGTTTGATCTTGAAATTACTCGCAAAATATTACAACCATTTTAATGCTTTCAAATGTAATTGTCTGACATTTATATTGTTAGATTGACTACAAGTATTTTGTTCGTTCGGGATTCAAACAAAATGTTTGAGTATAATCGATGAATTGAAGTGAGCTACTTCGTATGATCTTCAAATTACTCACAAAATATTTCAGCCATTTTAATGCTTTCAAACGTACTTGTCTGTCATTTAGATTGTTAGATTGAATTCAGGTATTTTGTTTGTTCTGAATTGTATTTGAAAAGAGTGATTTAGATCAGGGAAGCAAAAAAAAAAGAGCAGATGCGCGTTCGCCATTTACAAAAGAAAAAATCCCCTGTAATGACCTAAAGCTTCCTCTTTGGGTTTTAATATCTATTCTCAAAATAGATTTAAGTGCTCGTGCGCCAAAAAAACTTTATGTATCGCAGTTTTAGTGAAATAGTTCTTGATTCGAGTGCTTTCTATGTGTAAAAGTTTATACTTACAATATAGTTTATGACTGTGACGTGTAAGGCTGCATTAGAAATACATTATTTAACCGGTTAGGACAGTATTTAAAGGGGGACTAGCACGAAAATTGGTCAAATTTTCAAAACTCTTCAAAAAGTCGCTGTTATGATCAATATTACTTACATAAATATACCCTTAGCATTTTTTTTACATATTACCGCAAGAAATTCGTTAAATTTTCGTTTTTCTTCTTGGCCGCCATTAATCAGTTGTCGCTTGTCTGTTCACTCGGGGGAAACTGGGTCGAGCGCATATGACGTCACTTACTCAACCCAAACAAATCAACGTGAGAACTTTTCTAAGGAAGACTAGGAAGTACGGGTAGCGCGCCGGTAATTCGGAGCTTTATCTGTATTTATTTCCTCAAAAATTGAAAGCTATTAAGATTGCCATCTAATTGTTGTGTGGTTCAGGGATGCAGTAATAAATCTGATCCAAAAAAATGGCATTTCAGTGCATTCTTCGCCGATTCACAAGCAGGAACACGCGAAGTGGAAGCGTTTTGTCACGTTGCATCGCCTTAACTTCGAGCCTGAAAATCGTTTCACTGTGAGCTCTGAGCATTTTGAGGATAGCTGCTTTGAAAGAGCAGTGCATGTGGAAGGCTCAAAGAGAATACTAAAGCCGGGATCTGTACCAACCCTTTGGAAGCCCGAAATCAACAGTCAGGACGAACTTATCAGTGACAGAAGCCGCCGAAAGGTGATCAGCCTAAACTTCTTTACGCTTTAGCCAAAAAAATTATAATACTCTTAAGATTTTAGGTAGGTAGTGGTGAGAATTCAAAATTGCAATTACTATCATAACTTYATAGGATCAGCATACTCTTGCTTGCTTTTTAATACCTTTATATTCATCTGAGTGAAACTTTTCGCGGCGCGCCGACATATTATATTAAAGCGACCAGATTGCGCCAACATTATGCATTGTTTATTGATCAATGAGTCGTAATATTTCAATCAATGGATTGCAAGCCAAGTCCGTAAATTAAAAGCAAAATGCTTTAAAACAATGTGGCTTTTTTTGTGGTGTTTACCGAAACAAAAGTCACTTATTTCAACTCACAGCTCACAGTAACGTGCGAAAATCTATCAAATAAGATATGTTCTGATTTGCTTGAATTAGACGGTACATTGAAATAGTAAGTCATCGCAAAAACACAATATGAACGGGTATGGGTAAACAATTATATAATTATCAATTAACGAACGATGATTCAAATACGATTGATAATGCGACTGGAGATACGACTGAAAATACGATGATTCAGCGAACTTCCACCTCTTCTTCAAAGCGTTTGTTCAACATAGTAAGTTGCTCTTCTTCTACGGCTACTTCACGTTGATATTTCAGGCTTTCTTCTTGAGTAGCCATCGGCTCAAAGTCTTCAGCACCAGTGGAAATAGATAATTCTTCTAGGTCTGAGCCAGAACTCTCAGAAACGTTGGAAGAACTCCAAGAATAGCTCTCATCCGCCATGGTACCTACTTAATTTTACTAGTTTACAAGACGCTTGTTGAGTAAGTGACGTCACAAGAAGAAACCGCTGACGCAAACTTGCGGACTCGGCARGCGACAACGAAGCAATGGCGACCAGCGATTTTTCATGAGTTTTAAGTCGAAAATTTAACCGTTTTCTTCCTAAATGGACGAAATTTCCGTGAAATAAGAAAAATCAGGTTATATATCACCACCTGGGGTGAAGAAATTGGCGTTTAAAATTGACCAAATTTCGTGCTAGTCCCCCTTTAA